CTAGCCAGGTCCAGAATATGACTCCTCAGGAGCTCAGGCTCCAGCCTTTGACATGGAGACAGCTCTGGAAAAAGTGCCAGTTGGCCTGTCACTGCCCAGTTCTCTGGGGAGCCTTCCCCCTCCAGCCTGACTGGCTTCTTTTCTGGGAACCCACAGGGTCCAGATCTACCCTTTGGAGTTGGCAAGGGGGTTTTGGGCACAAATCTGTCTCCCTCGTACCAGAAATAGTTTCATACACCTGCAGAATCCATTCCTGATCCCTGATCCCCACCACGGCCCTGTGTGTGATTGCTTTCTCCCTCTGATAAATCTGGAAACTGAGAACCAGAAGCTGGAACAGCCGGGACAGTCAGAATAAAAACCAAGAACGCCCAACTTCCTGTGACACCTCATACCACAGATGTGGCTTGGGCTTTCTGGGGACTGACAGTCTACGTGGCTCCGAAGCATTTTCTTGACGGATTAAAACACAACATAGCCACTGCAAAGGGAGGCCTGAAGTCTTGTTTGTTCATCGTGAAAGACAAGGGCTTGAGAGCACCAGATGGTATTAAGAATTAGTAGGAAATGATACACACAAAACATGTTGATTATATTTTAACACATATGCAATACTGAATTTGAGTAGTAAGAGACTAGAAACAAGTCAAGTGCTCAACCTGGGGAGATTGGATCAGTAAATGGTGGTTTAAAAAAATTAATTTAAAAATGTGTGTGTGTGTGTGTCTATATCCCAAAATGGAATACTATGCAGCCATCAAAAAGGACAGGTACTTTTTCTACATACTGATGGGACATGATCTCCAAAATGTATTGTTAGGTAAGAAAGGCAATTTGCAAAGTAGCATGTGTAATATACTACCTTTCATGCAAAACAGGAGAGAAATAGAATATACATTTGTGTTTACCCAAAGAAATCCTGGAAGGGGATATGAGAAGCAAATGCTGATAGTTATAGAGGGGAATGGGTAGATGGTGGCACGGTGGGAGCAAGGATTTGCATTCTAACTTTTAAATAATTTTAGATGGTTTTGAACATCACTAATCAGATGGGAGTTGTATTACCTAGTCAAAAAATTAAGTTACAAAACCAAGTGAGAATCAAAGGCCCAGTAGACTAATAATAAGAGTTATTATGAAGTATTATCTAGCCTGTAATGACTTTTGCCACCATTGTCCCTTGACTGTCACGTGAACACATTTGAGGTCTTAAACCTAGCTTGACCTGACTCTGGCTTCCTCAGTGTCCCAGGAGAGGGTCCCTTTTAGCCCACTTTGAACCTAGCGAGGGTTCCTATTTGGGTTTATGCTGGGCCCACACTTCCCTCTAACGTCCACGTCATCTTGGTGGCCCCTTTGGCCATGGGTGGTCAAGTCAAGAGACATGCTTGTCTCGTTCCAAGAAAACCCTTGAACTTTTAAACTCTTGGTGAAATGTTTATAGGAAAAAATGTGTCCTTGTGGGCTCTCCCTGATGCTAATATCCAATGGACGGAGACTCTCTAGAGAAGATAATGACTGAAAACCTGTATATCATTTGAGAAAACAACCTGATAGGGCTGTTAGCCAGCCTTTTCTCTGCCAGGACCTCCCCAAACACTGCTCCCACCCCACCACCCAACAGCCTGTGTGTTAAGTGATGCTTGCCGTTTCCTGTTAAAATGAGCCAAAGACACAATGCGGCCCCACTGCATCTTCTGATCTGCGTATGGTCCCCCGTTGCCCAGTGGCTCCAGCTTTCCTTCCCAGACCAGAGGCCCCTTACATTTCTACAGTGCTCACACCTTGCTCCTAGCTCTCTGGTCTTTGGGAATTTCGGAAATAGCCTAAGGCTGCCCTCTATTCTCCAAGCTGCTTTGGAACACCCACAGGGCTGTTCGTGGGGCCCCTTCTCAGCCCACTCTGGGTTGGGTCCGTAAGGCCTTCCTGAACCTTCTCAGGAGTCAGGCAGAAAGGTGGCTTTCAGCCTTTCCCCCTTCTGTCTGACTCTGAATCTCTGTATTTGCTTTGTCTTAGTCTTTCTTCCCTGCTCTCACCTTTTAGGTGCTTCCCTTACCCTCTCTGTCGACTCTCTGTCTCCCCATTCCTGCCTCTTGCTGTCCCCCTCCTCCCGTCCTCCCTGTTCCTCTGTATCCTCTTCCCTCTGTGAGGGACTTGGCTGCCCTGCCCTCCTCCTATCTCCTTCTGTGTCCACCTCGGTGTCTTGCCCTGCTCCCACACACCCCTACCCCAGCCCAGATCGCCTGGCCCACCCAACCCCTACCCTGCTGGGCTTGCTGGACTCTTCCAGAGGGGGCACCCCTCCAGATGGGCAGGGCCAGCTTCATGGGTGGGCCACCAGGGCAGCTGCCTGGGGCTCAGAAGGGCCTGAGCTTGGTTTGACACCTCAGAGTTGCTGTCTTGAAACTCTTAGTACTTTTTGAATAAGCGGCCTGCTTGCTCACTTTGCACGGGGCCCCACAACGTAGGCAGCCTGCTCTGCTGAGGGGCGTGGACTTTCTGGGAGGGTCCAGGTTCTGGGCATGCTGCTGCCCCCTCCCGCCTGCTAGTAACCACATCTGGACGTGCGCCCAGCTTCCGAGGCGCTCCCACTATGGGCTGTCCTGCAACAACAGAAGGTAATTGCCAGATTCATTCCCATTTTACAGATGAGACAAGCGAAGGCTCAGAGAGGCCAAAGTTCCTTGCCCCAGAGCCCAGAGCTCAAGAGCCTGCCTCTCAAATCCAGGCTTTCAAATTTCAGGCTGAGACTTCAGAGTCTCCAGCAGGACCCCTTGTGTTTCTGAGCCAAGCGTCAGTCTCTGCCTCTGTGAAATGGAGGTGGTGGGAGTAGCTGCCCCACAGCAGAGCCAGTGGGCACTTAAACCTCGAATATTCTGGATACAGGTGCCTGGCACGTACATTTTTACACAGTCGCCCCAGCCTCTCTGTACCTATTTTCTCGTCTGCCAAGTGGGGGTCATGGGAATGTGAGGACCCAGATCAGTGCTCAGCACAGGGTCCAGCACGGGTGGGCGGGCAGGGTCCGCACTCAGAAGCCTCTGGCCGCCCTCCCTCTTGGGCAGAGGATGGGGTGATTTGTGAATAGGAAAACCATATTGTCCAAACTGGGGCACTGTGAGAGTAAAAGCAGCACTCTTAATAAGCATGTTGAGATAAGAGGCCCAAGCCAGGATATAGGGTCACTACGTAGGTATCGTGAGCATCTTGGGCCTGGTAACAGGAAAGCAAGCATCGGGGAGGGAGCAGAACCACACCCCGGGCCTGCCTCCAGCTGGTAGGGACTAGGGCTGGGATCTAACATTTGCCACAGAGAATGGTTGTCCCACTTGCTCTGGCTCATAACATCAAGACATCTGTTCAGGGAGAAACAGGATCAGGGAGGGCACCTCAAAGACCACACAGTTCAGGCCCGCTCCCAAATATTCTAGAAATGTCTTCCAAGGAAACGGGCAATGCGTAAACCGGGTCTAAACACTCCTGCCCAGGCCCGGCTGAGAAAATGGGCTCTTAAGGAACTGCCCTTTGGGGTTGGGCTGCCAGCTTGGAGGGAGGGTGCTGTATTCAAGCCACAAGCATCTGGATTCCTGTCCTAAAACAAGCAGAACCTCAAGCCTGTGCCCATGGTCAGGGCCTCGGTGAGGACAGTGATCACCACATCACACCTTGTCCTTTCTCTACAGACCTCCGGAGAAAAGTCCTTCTGCCCCCTGGTCCCAGGAAGGCCTCCCATTCCCCGGAGTGGGTTTGTTTGTAGCCAGAGGCACGTGACCACTGGGACTGGTTTTCGTTTCTGAGACTAGGAGTCTGGGAGTCCGTGGTTTGGCCCACCCAAGCTAAGCATGTAGGACATTACTTATCGTCTGCATTTTTCCCCTCAGCCCTGGCTCAGCTTTCTGTCTCCACCCACGTTCCCTTCCTCCTTACACTCTCACTTTTAATTTATGATCCCCTGTATTTGTGAGTCTTTTGAGATTTTTTTTTTTCCTCCCTTCTGGACCAAGTCAAAACATAAGCAAACAGACAAACCTGCAAGCAAAAACATCCTGTAGCACTCCTCCTTCTGCCTGGACAGAGAACATCCCAGCCGGTGAGAGCCAGAAGGCAAGGGGTTAAGAATGTTGCAGAGGAAGTGCTGGCCCACGTTAAAAGTGAGGAAGTGATCCTCATTTGGGGGCAGGGGTGGGAAGGAGGTAGCCAGCTTATCCCGTGTGACTCTAGGGAGGCTGAACCAGGCTTGAGGTGAATATGACAGGTTGCTGCGAGTTCAGTTTAGTCCAAAAAGGAAGAGCTTTCTAATGACTCGATGGGTTTTTCTGGAAGTTCTGCTGGGGAGGGTTTGGGAGGGGGGAAAGAAAGAGGATTGACCTGCCCTGGAACATGGCAGAACCCAGGGCGAGTTTATTTTGGATTCTTTTATTTCTGAGTGTTGACCTGGGGGCCCAGGGGATTCCTGAGGGACAGTCCCAGGGGCAGTCTCCCCCCATTTCCAGGCAACGCTAGGCAGTGAGACTGGCCGCGGGCACTCCTGCACGATGTCGCCCGCATGCTGGTTTCTTGGGTGCAAAGACTTGTGTCTCGTCCCCGCGTGAGGTGAGCTCTGCCAGACACGATTCTTTGCACACCTTGCTCTCTGCGGCATTCCCATACCTAGCCTGGCGCCTGGCCCACCGCAGAGATTTGTCACAGTAATCAAATGAAGAAAACAGCTTCTGGTGGCAGAGCTAGAATTCCAACTCGGTATTATCTGCCTCCAGAAATAGCCCTCTGTAAACATAACAGCCAGGGGCCTGTGTGTTGGGGCCAGGATCGTTACCTACGGAAGCTGCCCGATCCATCCTGGTTTGCCTGGAATGTTCTGGAAGCACCGCTTCGCAGGACACCCCCAAACTGGATGGCTGATCTCCTATACACCCTGTGCTGGGGATCCCACATAGTTTTTACAATGACCAACCTTGCAGATGAGGCGATGGCTCTGTGGCCCGAGGTGGCATGGCAGGCGTGGGGCTGGGCCAGCCTGAGCATCTGGCTTTGCTGCCGCCTGGTGAGGCTTACGCTGTAACCGGAGGGGGGCAGACCCCTCCATCCTAAAGCCTCTCCAGCAACGGCTTTGGAGATCCTGGAATTTCCTCTGGGCTCCAACCAGCTGTTTTTTCCGTTGAGGGTGGAGGGGCGGTTTTCCCAGCAAGACCCTTCCTTAGGGCAAGGCTGGAGTGTTGCCTTGGGAAAGGTGACGGCGCAGTGACGGGGTCGAGGGGGAGGGCAGCCTGTTCCTCCTCCCCCCACGCCTGGGAACAGGGTGGGATCTCAGGCTCCCCTGTCCCAGTTGCTGGCAGCAGCGCCTGCCCTTTTGTCAGCCGCCTGGGCTGGAGCCAGGGAATTCTAAGGGGCCAGAACCTGCCTAGATGCCCCAGGGCCCCTGTGCCCAGGGCCAGCAGCCTGGGCAGGGTGCAACTGGGCAGCTCACGGCTCCAGGATCTCTCGGGGCTCCACCGGGCTGAACGGGCCTCTGCAGCCCCTGCCTGTCCAGGAGCCTGGTGAGTGGCGACTATTTTCCAAAGTTGGGTGAGTCTAGACACCAAAGGCTCTTGGAAGGTGGGGTTGGGGAATGTGTGAGACGCGGTGGCCCTGCCAGCCCTGGGCCCGGGTGGGGGTCAGCAGGCATAAGAACGCAGGGCTCTGTTCCCAGGGATCTCTAGCAGGCAAGTCACAGAATGTCAGCTACAGTCACAGGGACCGCAGGTGGGGCCCTCGTGTCAGGGCAGACCAAGTTCAAATCCCATCTCTGCCCCTTCCTGGCTCTGGGATCTTAGGCGAGTGGTCTTGCTTCTTTGTGTCTCAGTTTTCCACCTCTGCAAGATGGGACTGCAAAAGCCCACGTGGGTGGGTTGTTCTGAGAAGAGGTACTGGGTGCACAGTGGGCACCCAAGACGTGGGAGTTAATGTCTCATGCCAGCCTTTTGGTTTCTGTTACTCTCAGCTCAGAGCTGTGCTCTAGGACCCCAAGACGGGAGAGGGCTTCTGAGTCCGTGCATAGAAGCTTGCTAGTGAGACGTGAGGGAAGTCTGACAGATAAGAAAGGCTCATCACAGCCTTATAGTGGAAGGGCCGTCTTCCCCTCCAGATGCTTGGACGTGCTGTGACAGGACAGACGGATATTTCAACCAGCCTCATGGACTGCTGCTGCGATCTGTTAGAACAGACCCAAGTTCCAGGCGTGGTTGGTGATCCTGATCCTGTGCCTTCCAGAGTCCCAGTTTCAACACCTGTTAGGTGGGGATGGTAATCCCCCCGTCTCTGGGGGCCTTGTCTGGAGACTGGGAGATAAGGAAGGCCAGACCCAGCCAGACGCCTGGCTGTCCCAGCAGGAGCATTTGCTTTCTTCTCCCAGCTCTGCCTGGGTTCCTAACAGAGTGCCCAGTGGGACTGGGAGGAGCAGAGGGAAAGAGACAGGGCCTCCCCAGGCAGAGGAATCTGCCCGGGTAAGGGCCCCAGAGGTTTCAAACACTCCTGGTGCCCAAGGGAGCAGGTGGGATTAGAAGAACTTGGACTCTGCGGTCCTTCACTCCCCAGCCCAGGTAGCCCTTCTTGACCCTAGGCCCTGCAGCCCTGTGCTGGGTCAGTGACCCTAGGTCGCTGACATTACCCAGGACCTGTGCTCACATTCAGGGGGCCTCTCTTCCTCTCTTTGTGGCTTTTCTGCACCTGGGCTCCTGCCCTGTGCTGCTTTTCCCCACCTCAGCCTCTCCTCCCTGGAGCTTTGTAAGCACACAGCGCTCCCCACAATTGTAACTCCCACCTCTCCCTGGGTCCCACCTCCCTGATGTGGCTCTGCTGTCCCCTCAGTCCCCTCTAGGATGCAAACCCTCAGCTAGAACCACTCCCTCCCTCTTCCCTGCTCCTGCCATGTGCCCTACAGATGTCTGCCACAACCCTGTAAGTCCCCATTCTAATCCCACTTCTGCAGTTTCCTGGCTGGGCGGCCTCGGGCAAGCTACTTAACCTCAGTGAGTTTCTCCTCCTTCATCTGTAAATGGGGCTAATAATAAAATAATAGTTCTAACCTCCTGAGACACATAGAGACTGAGCTAGTAACATGAAAATGACACACACATAAGAAGCTTTCAAATTTATTTAACACATTTTTTTATGGAGCGCCCACCGTGTGTCACTTATGACTTAAGGGGCTGGGGTGCAGCAGTGGCCAGAACAGGCCACAGAGGCCACAGCCTCTGCCCTCAGTAAATGTCAGCTCTGACTCGGGCATCTATTTGCATGACTGCTTTTCCCAGCTCCCCACAGCAGGGTGGGCGGGGATGTGGGGGTGTGGGGTGGGGTGGGGTGGGGGTGGGGAGGAATGTTGTCTAATTCATCTGCATGTCAGACTCCCAGCTCAAGGCCTGGTCTTGCTTGCTTGTGAAGGGAAGGGAAGGGAAGCCCTCTGATTCTGGGCTTCCCTTGGCATTCCTGATTTCCCTGGAGAGTTGATTTCACCTGAAGGGGAGCCCCTTCCTTCAGCAGTGGAACATTGTAGGGTCAGGCAAGCAAGTCTGTGAGGCTCTAGGTCTCTCTCTGTCTCAAGCTGCTGCCATTTTGGATGGTCCTGGCACTGTAGCAGTGAGGTCCCTCCTCAACATTGAGATATCAGAGCTGGAACAGCTGCGTGTGAGGCAGGGTTCTCTCGGTGGCAGGGGACAGGATCCCAACTCAAACTGGCTAAAGCAGGAAGGGAAATTCATCGGTTGAGGGGAACTCATCTGTCCAGCAAGTGTTTCAGGCATGTTTGGTCTCGCTCCATCTTTGAGGTCTGCTTCCTTCCACTTTGGTCTTGTTTTCTGGTGGAGTTTGCCCAAGGGGTGACAAGAGTATCTGGGAAGGCTCTCACTGGCCCACTTCAGGCCCCTGTACCCAATTCCTAAAGTGGTCATTGGTGGCCAGGGGATGGGGTATTCTCATTGGCCAGGCTTGGAGCAGGGGGCTGGGTTATCTCTTTCCAAGCCCCTTAGCCTGATGAGGCAGAGGGAGGGCTGGCTTTCCACAAAGAAGAGATGGTCGGGTCACTCCCCAGAGGGACCCAGAAATGGGCACCACCTGGGAGCAAGTAGAAGTCCAGAAGCTGTCTCTGGATTCCAGGGGCTCCTCATCAAAATCTTAGGGTTTGCTAAGCTAAGGTTTGCTGAAGGTTACCAGGAAGGGGTACTTCTAGAGAGAAAGGCAGCATTTCTTCTGTTAGGGGAGTGATTTATATTTGATTCCTTTCTGGGACCATACACCAGGAAGGAGGAAGGGAGCAGACGTTGCTGGCCTCCTACTCTGTGCCGCACACTGCTAAGCTCTGCGTGCTTCATGACACCAGAAGCAAGCACAGGTTGTGGAAGGAAACTCCAGAGTGGTGAGCAGGGAGGAATAGAGTGGATGCCCACATCTCAATCCTGGTTCTGCCCCTTCCTAACTGTGTGGCCTCAGGAAGATTGCTTGACCTCTCTGTGCCTCAGCTTCTTCATCTTGAAATGGGAGCAGTAATACCCTCTGTGCTGTTACTATCTAGATTGCACGAGCTTGTGTGTTGAAGTATTTAGGGCAATGTCTGGTGCATTGCAAACTTCCAGTGAATGTTAGTCATTGTTTTAGTCTGTCTTGGTGGCTATAACAAAAATATAAACTAGGAGGCTTATAAACCACAGAAATTGATTTCTCACTGTTCTGGAGGCTGGGAAGTCCAAGGTCAGGATGCTGCCAGATGTGGTGGCTGGTGAGGCCCTGCCGCCTGCTTCATCGATGGCTGTCTCCTCACAGACCGTGGAACTTGGGCTCTCTCTGTGGGGTCTCTTATGGAAACACTCATCCCATTCATGGGGCTCCGCCCTCAAGACCTCATCACTTCCCAAAGGTCCCGCTTTCTCATACCCTCACATTAGGAATGAGGCTCCAACATGTGAATTTGGCAGGGGGACAGCGTTCACGCTACTTGTTATTGTTACTACTTTTATGGCAATTAATTGGGGGAAGGGAATAGAAAGTCCATGTCTTATGGTGGAATTCAAGGCATAGCAGCGGGGGTTTACCAGATGTCAGTTTGGGGTGGGGGAGGATGCCTTTCTGGAATCCAAAAACCAGACCCAGACGCTGCTCCTTCGGCTGCATCCATACTCATCTCCTGGGGGTCTCCACACTTACCTGCCTTACACCCTTGTCTTAGATGTGCGTATTTTGTGAGTTGCTGGTTCTGGCTGCCCCTTGGCATTACTCACCCCCACCCCCATGCTGAAAGACCCCAGGTCAGTGAGACTGAGAGATGAGGAATCAGCATTATCATGGTGACCAGATTGCATCCATGGCTTCAGGGGCTCTGGGAGCAGATGAGTCTCAGTCCCCGGGACTGGCCAGTGTGGGCCCCTCTCTGTGACCTGGCTTCTCCCATGAAGCCTCATTTGGGTATCTCTGGTCCCCACTTGTCTGTCCATCTAAGACCTTTCTTAGAGCATTGGCCGTTGCCATGGAAACAACTCTTGAGGCAAAACTGCCCACATGGGCTGAGGAAAAGGAAATAGGGAGATTACCAGATTCCCTTGCTCTCTGAGGGGACCCCAATTCCTAGAGCCTCCAAAGACTGCTACTTCTGACTGGACTTGGAACTAGCAGAAGGATCCTTACCCAGCTCACAGGGCCCCTTGCTTGTCTCCTGCCTCCAGCCTCCAGCACAGCCCCCATATCAGCTGTATGAGTTAGAACTGGGGTCATTTGAGAAAAATGGACACCCCTCTGCTCAAAAACCATCCATGGCTCCCTATTGCCCCCAGGGAAAAGTTGGTGCTTTGCAGGGGTCTTCTTCTTACAGCCCTCCCTCCTGCCATCCCACTCCACACGTACTCTCACCACACTTGATCAAGCCTCTGTGCCTTTGCACACAGTTCTGTCTGCACAGATGCTCCCCTCCTTCTGTGGCTCCACTTAGCAAAGGCTTTGCACCCTCCAAGGCTCAGCCCAAATGTCACCTCCACCAAGAAGCTTCCTCTGATTTCCCCGACCAACTTGCCTTTACTTGGTACAGAGCCAGGGTAAAAAACTTGGCTGCTAATGGCCAGGAAGGGGACACAATGAGTAATGTAGGGACTATGTTGTCACTTCTGCAAAGAGATCTGCACCCTCCCATTACAGCTAGAAGTGAGAATGACTTGGCTCATCTTTATCACCAGATCTCTCTGATCTCTATACCAGCAGGACCCAGGGCAAACTCTGTGATGAACTGCCACTGGCTCATAGCCACAGAATCAAGAAGGTATTAGGGAGGGGTGGAGATGGCAGAGAACCCCATCCTGTTTGTGATGTAGCCCAATATGGCCAGTTCACTGGAAGTCTGGACTTTAGATGCTCTGAGGAGCATCGACAATGCCCCTGTGCCCACCTCCCCTACATGAGGCCGGGGACTGGCCATCTCACACCCACAGCTTCTAGCAAGGAATGTGGCACTTAGAAGGTGTTCACTAGCAGCCTTTTGAATCAATGTTTGAATGCACAGATCTGTGCCGTTTCCTGAACCTGTCAAACCTGCTCCTGCCACAGGG